ATTATTACTAATGCTTTTTTGTACTTACAAATCAATTTTTCAAATTAATTTTTACAACTCTTACAACTTCAAACTTTCTCTTCTTAATAGTTTTATATCAACAAAAATTCGTATATTTATATAGTAGTCATGAAAGATTTTAATGAGGATGACATCGATTTGACAACATATTTTGAAGAAATTATTTATTGTAGTGAGAGTATAAATGACATACACAATAATCTTGAACCAGTATCTTTAAAAAAAGATGATTTGTTCAATACTTTTGATGAAGCTGAACTTTGTGTACATCGATTTGCAATATATAAGGGTTTAAGATACAACTTGGGCATATACAAATGATAGACATAGCTGAAAATAACAAGGTGGTTCGCAAACGGACTATTCTCTGCAAGCATTCTGGTTTATATAAATCTAAAAATACCCAGAAACAAAGTACTTCAACTCGATTATCATACCATTGACACATTAATCTTTTACACTCTTCAAAAAATAACCTCAATTCTCTCATATATATTACCACTTTTGATGATGAATATAATCATGATCTATCTCCTGAAGCAACACTTTTCAAAAAAAACAAATAGTTCACAGAAGAAATGCAGAAAGAAGTGGAATTCCTTGTTACTAAATATCGTCTTGGTACAACCATGGTTCGGTGTATTTTAAAGGAGAAGTTTCCATCCCACCCTATATTTTCCAAGAACCTCTATGCCGAAATACAACGATGTTGACCATCAAGTAGTGTAGTTAAAAGTGATGTGTCACAGTTTTATGGGTAGTTGTTATCAAACTAATAAGAAGATTCTTGTTGGTTTGTTGAAGTTACATGGGAAGAAAAAACTAATACGTTAACGAATTTGTTTTGGATGAGTTCAGAACAAATTCTATTATGGTATGAATTCGGTAAAGCAATTGGGCATGATAATACTGCGGGTACCAATAGATATAACATGCCTCTTTCTTTATTTGTAGTACAGGATGATAACATGCAATCCTGCATAGTTTCTCAAGCTTTTGTTAGCAATGAGATAACTGAAACATACCAGTAGATTCTTCAAATGACCAAAAAAGCCACTAGTAATAAATATCACTGTATTTTTGTAACCAATGCCGATCTAGCAATAGAACGAGCAATAACTGTAAAGTATCCGAAAATGCAACACCTTTTTTGTATTTGGTATGTTAAAGAAAATATAAAAAAGATGTTGCATAGCAAGATGAGAGATTCATTTGATGAATTTTATAGCATGTTTTGGCAATACAGAAATGCTGATATGTTACATGGCTTTGAATATTATTAGAATTAACTTTTGAACTTCCCTAATGCAAAACTATACCTTGAATATTATTTTTATAAACGTTGATATTCGTGGGCATGTGCCTTCACTATGATGACATTTATACTTGGAATTCAATCTATATTCTTTGTCAAAAGTCAAAATGTATGTATTAAGCAAGTGTTGGAGAATAGTAATACATCATTGTATTATCTAGGTAAAGTATTGATGGAAAGAAGTAAGGAAGAACAAAAGC